ATGAAATCAGCAGCTCTGGAGCGTCTGTGAATCTAGAGCATGAAGTGTGATTGCTGATGAATGATGAATGATGAGCTCCAGTGAATGTGACGCTGTACAGGATCAGAGCGCATGCATGGGTCACGACCTTCACAAGCTGCCCAAAGCACAATGAAGGGAGTCTGTTGGATGGTTAGTTTTTGGTCACGTTTTGATCCTAAATCGTGCGAGCAGCTTGGTGAGCTAGTGCAAACGGGATAAACTGGGCGATCTCAGTCTCTACATGAAGACGAGCAGCAGGATCAGCGGCACGAGTCCGTGCAGTGTGTTTGAGCCGCAGCCGGCGTTCAGTGTGAAGCGCTGGTCTCCCTCTCGCCCCCCGCGCCGCTCGCCCGTCTGCCCAGTGCTGCAGCGGATCAGCGGCGGCTGGAAGCTGGTGGGCCGTCGCTCGGGCCGGTCCGGACTGGAGCCGTCGCTGGGTCTCTGGCCGTTGTAGAGGAGGCTGCGTCCCGACGGGTCCTGGCCCATGCTGAAGAGCTCGTACTCGGTGTGAGGCAGACGCACGCCCAGCGCCGCGCAGCCCGAGGTGGAGGTCACGTCCTGGGGAACGCCCCGCTGCCACGAGCCCTCGGCCCCACACGCACGCCCGCGGAGCACCTTCAGCAGAGACGCGGTGGCCTCATCCATGGGCGTCACCGTCATGTGCGTCACTGCAGGAGAGCCACGGCATTACACAGATGAAGAGGAGAGAAACTCAGACTAATGCTCAGGTTTGAGGTCTGTTGCTTTAATAACTGGTTTCCACCGCGAAATCAAAAAGATTAAAAGCGGTAACCTGAATGACGCTTTCCCATCCACCGTCATACAGAGACGCTTTTAATCATCATTCAATCCAATCCTCACGGATGCAGACAGATCCCAGCCTACACTGATTCTCATTCACTATCCTCTATCAGTAAAAAATGCATCTTGCAGAAGTAAAATGGTTGTGATGGTTATTTAATTGTATATATTTGGTGATATATAATATATATATATATATATATATATGTGACCCTGGAGCACAAAACCAGTCATAAGGGTAAATTTTGTGAAATTGAGAGTTATACATCATCTGAAGCTGAATAAATAAGCTCTCCATTGACGTATGGTTTGTTAGGATCGGACAATATTTGTAAATCTGGAATCTGAGGGTGCAAAAAAATCTAAATATTGAGAAAATCATCTTTAAAGTTGTCCAAATGAAGTTCTTAGCAATGCATATTACTAATCAAACATTAAGTTTTGATATATTTACGGTAGAACATTTACAAAATATCTTCATGGAACATGATCTTTACTTAATATCCTAATGATTTTTGGCATAAAAGAGAAATGTATAATTGTGACCCATACAATGTATTGTTGGTTATTGCTACAAATATCCCCCAGCGACTTAACACTGCTTTTGTGCTCCAGGGACACATATATATATATATAATAATTTTTTTTATTTATTTGTATATAATGGAAGCCTGTTTGCATCACAAAATAAAAAAAAAGTAATTGCAACTTTTTATCTCATGATGCTGACTTTTTTTTCTCAATTATTTTTTCCAAAATTGTGAGATATAAAGTCAGAATGGCAAGATAAGAATTCGGAGTGTTTTTTAAAGCACTAGTCAGTTTTGACGTCTATTTCACTTTCATAACGTCGTCTTACTGTAGAAGCTTGGTGATTATAAAATTTTTTAAAAACTGAGAAAAAAAGTCAGAATTGCAAGATACGAAGTCAAAATTTCCAGAAAAAAAGTCAGAATTGCGATATAAAACTAAATTGCAATTATCTTTTTTATGCCATGGAGACTTTATATCGCAATTTTGACTTTTTTCCTCACAATTTTGACTTTATATCGCAATTTTGACTTATTTCTCACAATTTTGACTTTATATCGCATTTTTGACTTCATATCACAATTTTGACTTTTTTCCTCACATTTTTTACTTTTCTCACAATTTTGACTTTTCTCACAATTTTGACTTTATATCGCAATTTTGACTTTATATCGCAATTTTGACTTTTCTCGCAATTTTGACTCTGAAAAACATCATCTGAAGCTCACTCTTCATGCTCCTGGTCTTACTGTGTGGCTGGGATTTTTATTTATTTGTATACTTTTTGTCATATATTTGTATATGATCATATTATCATTGCAACTTTGCGCAATTTCAAAAATGTAAACAATTTGGACTTTTCTTCTTAATTCTAATAAAAATTGAGACCTAAAATCAGAATTGCAAGAAATAAACTCGAGTAAAACTGAATTACAAGAAAAAAGTCGTAATTCTGAGTTTTTATCACAGTTTTTACTTCATATCACACGTTTGACTCTTATCTCACAATTCTGAGTTTTTTTCTCTCAATTTTGACTTCATATCACAATTTTGACTTATTCCTCACAATTTTGACTTCATATCACAATTTTGACTTTTCTCACAATTTTGACTTTTCTCACAAT